TTAAAAAATTGTATGGCCTCTGGGTTTTGTCTCCTAAAAGATGTCTCTCTTAGTAAGATTAGAAAAATATTCTTGTATTTTCTTCTACTTCTTTTAGATAGTTTCAATAAATTAGTTCTTTTATCTACCTGGTGTTTGTTTTTGCTCTCATTAAAGCAGTTTCTCAAATTCAGAACTGTTGACATATTGGGCTGAATAATTCTTTGTTTGTGGAAGAATGTGCTCTGCTGTGCATTATAGGATATTCAGCGGCCTTCCTGGCTTCTACCCACTAGAGATTGGTAGCACTCACTTTCTACCTCAGTTAAGACAACTAAATGTATTTCGAGATGCCCCCAAATGTTCCCTTGGGGAAAAAAATCACTCCTCGTTGTGAACTTCAGTAAAGAACGTTAAAAAAAATTAAGCCCTGCCGGGCGCGGTGGCTCAAGCCTGTAATCCCAGCACTTTGGGAGGCCGAGACGGGCGGATCACGAGGTCAGGAGATCGAGAACGCGATCGCTGGGCTAACACGGTGAAACCCCGTCTCTACTAAAAAATACAAAAACTAGCCGGGCGAGGTGGCGGCGCCTGTAGTCCCAGCTACTCGGGAGCTGAGGGAGAATGGCGTGAACCCGGGAGGCGGAGCTTGCAGTGAGCTGAGATCCGGCCACTGCACTCCAGCATGGGCGACAGAGCGAGACTCCGTCTCAAAAAAAAAAAAAAAAAAAAAAAAAAAAATTAAGCCCTGATTTTGAAAATATGCATACTCAAATAGTATACCCAGTTTTATTTTCATCACATCAGTGTCATTAACAAGATGAATCTAGAAACCATTCTGAATATATGGAAAAGACGGGAGGAGGAAAACCAAAGCACAGATGCTTCAACTTGAATCAGTCTTTTGGAACATAGTAACCTTGCCAGAATACTGCCAAAGTTTGAGCAGAATGATCTTAAATTTTGAAAAAGGAAGAATTAATAAGCAGATTCTGTCCCAGAATGGTGCTTTGCTTGTTTGTTTGTGTGGGGTTTTTTTTTTTTTTGTATTTGCATCTTTCATTTTTATTTTGGTTCTTGTCCATGATTATGTAGTTTAGTTGAAACAACAGTGTAAAGCAGTGGAAATAATGTACATAGTGCACTGGACTGATAATCAGAAAACCTAATCAGAAACTTGAATCTCTTTTTACATTTCCATTTTGATCAATTTTGGTTTCAATTGATCTTCAGTTCTGTGGTCTGAAAAATGAAGAATCTTATTGTGAAGATCAGTTAAACTAGTGTACTAAAAACCTTAAAAAAATTTAAAGCATTATAAGGAGTTATTAATACAAGGAACTATTATTTTACCTGCTTTAAGATTTTTGACAAAATTTATATTTAAAACGTAAAATTGTATCATAGTTCTAGACCTGTACTTTGAAATACTGTAGTCACTAACCACATATAGCTATTGAGCATTTGATATGTGGTTAGTCCAAATTGAGATGTACGCTAAATGTAAAATGTACACCATAGTTTGAAGACTTAGTATTAAAAAGAAATCAAATATCATAATTTATGTTGATTACATGTTGAAATGATAGTGGTTTGGGTATATTGAGTTAAAATAGATTTCTCTTTTTAATTGCTTTTTAATGGTGTTACTGGATTACTTTATATATATGGCTTAATTGTGTTTCTAGTGGACTCTACTGGTCTAGACTTATTTGATGTTAATTTATAGAAGATAAACTTCAATGAGTGCCATTATCTATAATATATGTTCTATAGAATCAGGAAATTTTAGTATAGAAAGAGTTTTCCCTATCAATTTTAATAGTGTTTGCAGATTATATTTTCCTCAAACCTCAGGGGAACTGCGATGCTGTATATTTTTTATTTAGATTTAATTCAGGTGTTCGGGAACTTTGGATTTCAATTTGATTTTTTTAAATATAATATTTATACAAAACATTCAAATATTATATACTAAATTTAAAAGCAGAGAAGAGCACTAGTTAGTGCCATTAGATTAACTCATTGATTATTTAAGTTGTGGCTCTCCCATATTTTTGTTTGCTCTATCTGTGTTGGATCATGTATAATTTTGGAAGCAGGTAGACTGTTCCATATTTGTGAGCCTGATTTTCCCGATACTGTGCTATCAAACATCGTAAGTCAAATTATATGATGAGGCTGCTATTGGCTTGTGTTTAATAGAATAACTTCATTAGTTTCATTTACTGACTTCACAATTAAATTTTATAAATGTATGAAATTGTTAGAACACTAATGAATCCACTTTATAGGTGTTTTGATTTTTGCAAAAAATACCTTTTGTGTTTTACATTTGTTTAAGATTTCGGCTGCAGAAAAATGGTTTGAAAAACCCTAATTTAATTAAACTTTTCATTTTACAGATTTAGAATCTGATTCTAAGGAAAAATAGTTTGCCAAATTTCACACAATTAATTGAGTACTGATATCTGAATCCTGTGTATACAGTGTAAGTACTTTCTGTGATGTAGTAGTCTTCTAAGGATTGTTATATTTGAGTAGGGGTTGGATCTAGAACATCTTGATTTAAATTATGTCTTTAAAATAATATATTTGTTCATTGTGTAAAATAGTTTTAAATTTTATATATATTATATTTATATATAAATGTAATATATAGTTTATATAAATATATGAACATATTTATTATATTTATATAAATA